GCTGCCTGAGCCCGACGCGGGCGCCGAGGCCGAGGCCGCGCTCTTCTTCAGCGGCAACGCGCTGCTGCCGGGCGCCGACCCCGCCGCGCACTGCTACTGCGGCCACCAGTTTGGGCAGTTCGCCGGGCAGCTGGGCGACGGCGCCGCCATGTACCTGGGCGAGGTGTGCACGGAGGCCGGCGAGCGCTGGGAGCTGCAGCTCAAGGGCGCCGGCCCCACGGCTTTCTCCAGGTGCGCGGGCCGGCGGGAGGGGCGGGCCTGGGCTCCGGGCGCGCGGGCAGCTTTCCGGCTCCGCGGCGCTTCGCTCCTGGGTGGAGCCTGGCGGCTCCTAGAGGGCGAAGAAGATGGTCGGTGGCCACAGCGAAAGAGGGCGCTCCGCCGGGACCCGCCGACTGGCCCGGGTGGGGAGGCGTCGCCCGCCTTCAGAGCAGGCACCGCTGGCTGTCCGCGCTCTGCTCTGCAAACACGCCGAGAACTTTGGAGTCTGCTCCACGGTGGCACTCACTTGTTTACTGAGGCTCCCGGCCCAGGCGCAGGCCAGTGCGGGGGCCTGCCTCCAGGTGCCACCTGGCAGTTCGGGGGACAGTAGCTCTTAAGACCCCCCTGCCGCTGGAGGGCACAGAATGTCTGGTTCTTCCTCATTCCCCATAGCTGGCCCTTTCAGCAAGACTGCCTCAAAAATGAAAGGGCTGGGATGTAGCGCTAGGGGTAGCGTGCTTAACTTACGCAGTGTGCTCAAGCTCAGTCCCCATTTCAGGGGCAGGGGCCTAATATTTTCGTCTTAAAAAGCCCTACTTCTTCCCTTGCGGGGAAACTGCCTGATAACAGTCACCTCTCTGCCTGACTTCAGACAGGCCGATGGTCGCAAAGTCCTGAGGTCGAGCATCCGCGAGTTCCTGTGCAGCGAGGCCATGTTCCACCTGGGGGTCCCCACCACCCGGGCCGGGGCCTGCGTCACATCCGAGTCCACAGTGGTGCGAGACGTGTTCTATGATGGTAATCCAAAATACGAAAAGTGCACGGTTGTGTTGCGTATAGCTCCCACCTTCATAAGGTAATGCTGGGCTCCTTGAGGCCTGTGTGAATGTGCTTGCTCACAGAGGCTGGGAGATTTGGGTCTGTGCAGTCGGGATGTCCACAGAGCACATCCACAAGGTGACAGTGCCAGGATTGGCCCCTGGCCTCAGAATGTCCAGACTGTCCACCAAGTAGATACATCATCACCCAGGGGAGACCTGTGCTTCAGGAGGTTTCTGCCTCTATTCAGCCCTGTTACAGCCGGAAGTGACGCTGGGGTTGGACCAGGCAGGGCAGCTCAGGTGGGACCCGGGGCGGTTGCCTAGGAGAGGCAGCCATGCAGGATTCCGGAGGGTGCACAGGCAGAGTTTACAACAAGGAACCGTCTCGCAGTGGCCAGGAAGTGGTCTCTGAAGCATGGGCAGACCAGGCTCCTTATCTGCCGTCCTTTCTGCCTGCTCCTGCCTCTGCTGCCTGGCATGCAACACTTTCAGAGCTGGTTCCCTGGACCCAGAGCAGTCAGGAAGACAGGGCTGGGCTGGAGGTGGCTCGCCTGTCATGCCAGGCCCCAGATGACCACCAGCTGCCCACAGTGGAACAGGTTGTGTCCGTCTCTGGCTTCTCCTGACTCCTGAGGCGGTGGAAGGAGCCAGAGCCAAAATCCACCTCACCCTGGGCTGCCCTTGTCCACACAGCCCTGGTGACGCTGGATAAAGATGTCCTGTGCCTTAGATGATGCCTATCACTGGCTTCTGCCCACTCGTTGCGAGTGGCAATCCCAGTTATGACTACCAAACGTGTCCCCAGATGCCTGGCAATCTCTGAGGGAAAGTTGCCCCAGTGAAAACCATGCTGACCCTGTGCTGGTCCCCACCAGGACCCTCCATGGAGTTCAGGTACAGGAAGTAGCTGTGAGAGTTTCTGGACCCCAGCACCCCACGAGCCATCTGGCAATAGTTACTGTCCTACTGGGTGCTGCCTGCCATGGGCCACAAGGTCTCCCACAGCTTCTTTTTCTCCTTGTCTTCACAGGGGCTGGGTACGTCTGACCTGTTCCAACACCTAGGTCTTCCCTCCAGGTTTGGATCCTTTGAGATCTTTAAGCCAGCTGATGAGCACACAGGGCGTGCGGGCCCCAGTGTGGAGCGGAATGATATCCGAGTCCAGCTGCTTGATTATGTGATCAGCTCTTTCTACCCTGAAATCCAGGCTGCCCACGCCTGCGACAGCGACCATGTGCCAAGGAACGCTGCTTTCTTCCGGGAGGTGGGTAGAGGCCACACAGCGCCCGTGGCAGCATGGCCCACCTGCTTCTGGATGTGACTGTCCTGGCCAGGGGGCAAAAGCTCCTGCCCAGTGCCCGCTTCGCCTGGGCCTGCCACCGCCATAGCCCCATAGGTGGGGCCAGCAAGCACACTGGCCAGACGGAGCAGTGCCTGGCTGGGGAAGTGGAGGCAGCAGCAGGAGGGCTGTGCCACCCTCAGGGCCAGCACGGGTGTCTCCAGGGCCTGGTGGGAGCAAGAGCACTTGCCAGTGCTGGTGCACCCTGCTGATCAGTGCTGATGAACCTAGGAGTGGCTCAGGCCACCCCTCTGCGGTTTGAGTCTCCCCCAGAACTGGCAGGTCTGACCCTGCCCTCAGCCAGACAGTGCAGTGCTCACGTGTGACCTGGCAGCACTGTCCCATCATATCCAGCCTGCAGCAGTCCTGGGCCTCACCCGGCCTGGCTGGTCCCTGCAGCGCTTGAGGGCCTGGGGCATGTGATAGGCAAGGGCTTCTCCAGGAGGAAGTGGACCACCATGGGCAGCAGCAGCAGCAGGGCCAGACACAAACCCCTGGCCATGGGGCTTGGGCTGTAACAGCCAATCTGGCCCAAAGACATGAGTACTGAGCAGGCATCTGGGGCCCCATCCTGCAGCAGCTGCTGCATGTGCCAGCTCAGGCACACACCATAGGTGTAGGTGGGACCTCAGGGGCCAAGAGATGGGCACGGGGCCTCTCAGCCCACTCAGAATGGTGCACTCGTGGCTGTACAAAGGCCCTATGTGTCCTCGGTGAAGCCCTGCAACCTGGGTCTTGCTCTCAGGGTGACTGGGTTCAGGTGCTACAGCTGCTGTCTTGCTGGGCAGGTAGGGAGCAGGGTTAGCGGCCAGCCTGGCACCCAGCATGGAATGGGATGTGTGGAGGGCACAGTGTTGTGGACCCAGGCAGGCTCCCATGAGGTCTCCATCTGGGCCTGGGTCTGGGGAGTATGCAGGAGCAAGGGCCACGTACCCCAGCTCTGGAAATCCTACAAGGGGAAGGGGAGGTCCCTGAGAAGAACAGCTAAGTAATGCCACTGGCCAGGGTGTGCACCTGTGGAGTGCTAAGTGCCTGTCCTACCCCAGGTCACACGACGCACAGCCCGCATGGTGGCCGAGTGGCAGTGTGTGGGCTTCTGCCACGGTGTCCTGAACACCGACAACATGAGCATTGTGGGGCTCACCATCGACTACGGGCCTTTTGGCTTCCTGGACAGGTGAGTGGATCTGCGAACAGCAGTGACACTGCAGCACGGGTTTATGGGAGCAGTGGGGGCGGACAAGAGCCTTGGGCTGGGTGAGCGCAGCTGCTATACACACTTTCTTGAGTGTTTGGCTCTCAGCAGTGCCAGTTCAGCTCCTTCCTGGAGCAGAAATATGCTGGAGGCTCAAGCAAAGCACTGTGAGCTGTCTTAGCATCTCATTTACTTCCTCAGTGAGGTTTTTTTGTAGTACTGGGGATTGAACCCAGGAACACTGTCCCACACGGCTGTATCCCCAGCCCTTTATTTTGAAGCAGGGTCTTGCTGATTAACTAAGTTGTGCAAGCTGGCCTGAACTTGTGATCCTCCTGCCTCAGCCTCCCACATAACTGCAGTTATAGGAGTATGCACCCAGCATATTTTAGCATTTTAGAAAGAGCCGCTTCATGGATGAGTGGAAGAGCGCTGCTTCTCCAGCTCTGGAGGCAGTCAGGGCCATCAAGGGCCTTGTTGGAGCTGCAGGGATGGTACAGCAGGGTGGTGGCCAGGCAGGTACCACCCTCGGCATGTCCTGACAGATCTGTGCCCCCTGCCCTGTGACAGGTATGACCCTGACCATGTGTGCAACGCCTCTGACAGCGCCGGGCGCTACACATATAGCAAGCAGCCTGAGGTATGTAAGTGGAACCTGCAGAAGCTGGCCGAGGCACTGGAGCCCGAGCTGCCCCTCGCTGTGGGTGAGGCCATCGTGGCTGAAGAGTTTGATGCCGAGTTCCAGAAGCACTACCTGCACAAGATGCGCAGGAAGCTGGGCCTCGTGCGGAGTGAGCAGGAAGAAGACAGCACGCTAATAGCCAAGCTCCTGGAGACCATGCACCTGACTGGTGAGCAAGGCGCATACTTGGCTTGCACTGTTGCTGGAAACACGCTGTTCACCCTGTGTGTGGACTTTTTCTTTTTTTGGAAGTACTGGGGGTATTTTTTAAAGACAGGTTCTGGTTATATAGTTTAGTCTGATCTTTAGTCTGGTCTTTGAGTTTGATCATCTTCAAACTCAAAGGTGATCCTCCTGACTCAGCCTCCTGAGTGCTGAGATTACAGGGATGCACCATCAAGTATACACATCTTAAAATAATTTCTAACCTTACTCTATTATGGCTGGAGAATATACGAGTCTTTTTTAATGTAGTCATTTGCTTCGGTGTATCCAGGAGAAATGTCCTGTTCTTGCTGGCCAGTCTCTGGTCCATTGGCTGGATTGTTCAGGTCCTGTTTCTTCATTGATCTACCCAGGTTCTCTGTCTGCTCCTGAAAGTAGCACATTAAGGACTTGAACTTTTCACTATTACAAATCTCTCCCTTAGTTCTGTGAATGTGTGCTTTGTGTGTTACAGGGCACTGTTGTTTGGTTCATATATTTCATATGTATGTTTGTTTTTCCATAGTACAGGAAAGCTATCTAGTGTTTATTATTTCTTTATTTGGAGTCCAGAGTCTCACAAAGTTGCCCAGGGTGAGCTCATACTTGCAATCAACTGGCCTCAGCCTCCTCAAGTGCTGGGATTACAGGAGTACCAGCTGATGTTCACATCTTTTTGATGATTTGACTATTTCTATATAATACCCTCATCTCTACATTTTTCCCCCTATACTTGGGCACACTAGGCAGTCTACCACTGTGCTACCACCTCAGCCCTTATTTTTCCTCTTGCCTGGCACGAGTATCACCGGTCTCAGCTCCAAATTATGAGTATAGTGTTTGCACTGACTGTTGCTTCCTTTCACTTACAACCTGTTTAAAGCAAGTCTCCTATAAGTAGTATGGTATGTAGTTGGATCGTGGTTTTTTTTTTTTTTTGAGACAAGAGTCTTGTTATATATTCCAAGTGAACCTGGCTAGATCACAGTTTTGTTGTTTTTTTGTTTTTGAGACAAGGTCTCGCTATGTAGTTCAGGCTGACTTTGAACCCTCAGTGATCCTCTTGCCTCAGCCTCCCAAGTGCTGGGATTATAAGCTTGCACCATCATGCCTGGCATAAGATCATGTCTCTTTTTTGCCTTTTTGAGACAGGGTTTCACTATGCAGTTCAGGCTGGCCTCGAACTCACAGCGATCCTCCTGCCTCAGCCTCCCAAGTGCTGGGATTATAGGCGTGGATCACCATACCCGGCTGGATCATATCTTTTATGCATTCTGCCCGCCTGCCTTTTCACTGACCAGGTCTATTCACTGTTACAGAAATCACTGGTTTAGAAGTGCTTGGGCCACTTCGCTGTTTTCTGTATGTCCTCCCCCTTTTCCTAATTCTCATTTTCTCCACTGCTGTCTTTGCTTAGTTGATTTTTTTGCAGCATCCTACTTGGAGTCTCTTCTCATCTGTCTGTTGTTCAGATGTTTCCATAGTGGTTGCCACGGCTCCACCTGACTGGCAGGTGTTGAGGGCCAGGGCTGGGCTTAGTCCTGCTCTGCATGAACTGCTTCCGACAACCTGCTGGTCACAGGACAGGCGATGGCTGTCAGGTGGGCTCAGCACCTGTGAAGGGAAAGGGCTGGCATCCACCTCAGTAATGACCACCTGTGTTCCAGGGGCTGACTTCACCAACACCTTCTGCTTGCTGAGCTCCTTCCCTGCTGAGCCAGAGGCTCCAGGCCTGGCTGAGTTCCTGAGCGCACTGGCCTCACAGTGCGCCTCCCTGGAGGAGCTGCGGCTTGCCTTTCGACCCCAGATGGACCCTCGGTGTGTAGCAGCCTCACCTCCTTGAGTTTATTTTTAGAAGGAACACGGGGAAGTGAAGGATCCAGGGGGCACTAAGGCAAGTGGGGCCCACGCAGTTGTCACAGGTCCTGCAGCAGCCTTCTCAGGACAGCAGTTTGTCTTGATGGGCAGTATTGGGCGAGCTGGTCATACAGGAACAGTCAGGGACACTGATGGGTGACAGAGGTGGTCTCCCCAGCACAGGGCCCAGGCAGCCTGTGCCCGCCCCGCAGGATGCACGCCTCGTGCTCGGTGAGACAATGAAGCAGCCATAGGTGGATGGTACAGAAAGGGTTTTAGTGGGGCAGTGACTGTACAGGGCTGACCACTTGGGACTCGGTGAGATGCAGGCTGCAGACCACATCCCTGCTCCCCTCACCAGCCGAGCCCTGGCTGACACCACTGCCCTCCCTGCAGCCAGCTTTCCATGATGCTGATGTTGGCCCAGTCGAACCCGCAGCTCTTTGCACTTATTGGCACCCAGGCCAATGTCACCAAAGAGCTGGAGCGCGTGGAGCAGCAGTCTCGGCTGCAGCGCCTGACCCCTGAGGAGCTGCAGAGCCGCAACAGCGCACACTGGGCCACCTGGCTGCAGGCCTACAGGTGAGTTGTTCCGGGTCCTGGGCACCAACCCCAGGGCCAGGGCCATGCACCTCATGGGGTCTGGGATGATTCCAGGGCCCGGCTGGACAAGGACAGGGAGGACGCTGGTGACACTGCTGCCTGGCAAGCAGAGCGCTTGCATGTGATGCACACCAGCAACCCCAAGTATGTCCTGAGGAACTACATTGCACAGAATGCCATTGAGGCTGCTGAGAATGGGGACTTCTCAGAGGCAAGCACATTCTGTCCCTGCCCCTGCCCCTGCCGCTGCCCCTGAAGGGAGGCAGAGGGTGGGCAGCCGACCAGCACCTCACCTCAGCTCTCCCCTAGGTGCGGCAGGTGCTGAAGCTGCTGGAGTCTCCTTACCGGCAGGAGGGGGAACATGCTGAGGCCCCAGAGGCTGCAGGCCCTGAGGGGGCTGCCACGGTGGCCAGCAGGCGGCCATCCTATAGCAGCAAGCCCCCACTCTGGGCAGCTGAGCTGTGTGTGACATGATCCTCGTAGCAGCCCCCACACCTGGGAGGCTCCTGAGGCCATGTGCACTGCTGAGCTGCTGAGACTGCAGCCCCTCTGCGCTCTCCATGACGGCAGGGACGTACAGTCAGGACCTGACCTGTTTCTGTCCGACACTCGCTCAGCTGTGCTGCTCTGGTCCAGTGACCACAAGGACAAAGGCCCTGCCAAGTGCTTGTGGGCGGCAGAGCCAGGCCACCCTGCCGAATAAAGCAGCAGTTCCCACAGCCCGTCCCTGGTCACTGTGCTGTACCCCTGGGCGGCGCTCACGCGTCCTGGTAGTAGTTGTTGAAATTGATGCGCAGCAGGAAGTCCTCTAGGTGGGGCTGGTAGCCACGGTTCACCAGCTTGGTCACCACTAGAGGAGAGAGGGCTGCTCAGCCTGTGCCCCAGCCCTGCCACCTACTGCCCACCGCAAGGGAGGCTCACCTTTGAAGAGGAAGTGCGAGTAGTACTTGAAGGTGCTGTAGGACTGCTGCATGAGGGCGAAGTTAGGGTGCTCTGTCCCCTGGGGGCTGCTGGCCGGGCCCCAGGCCTGGGAGATAAGCTGGCTGCGAAACTTAAGCACTAGGCTGAAGATGCTGTGGATGATGTTCATAACAGGTGCCGCCTTCTCCGTCAACAGACCCCTGAGGTGGGCATGGGCAAGGTGAGCTGCCCCACCCTGATAGCCCATGGCCCCCAAGGCCCCCCAAGGCCACACCCCACCTAAAGACAGCCTTGTGCAGGTACTCAGCATGGGCACGCTGGATCTCCTCCAGGTCACTCACTGTGGCCAGCCGGGCCCTGAACTCGCACCAGCTGACATGCAGGATCTGGTTGGCGATGTAGCCCTGGGTGACCTTCACAAAGTGCTGCATCTCATGCTTGAACAGCTGCAACTGGCGGAACTGCACTGAGCCAGCAGAATGGCTCACCAAGGCTGGACAGAGGGCAGGGAGCCAAGTGAGGGGCGGCAGGGCCTGCGGGGGTAGGGGGACAGGTGGGCTGCATGTGCCCTCACCTGTGCGCTTAAGGTGGAAGCAGATGTCCTTGAGTGTCCACATCATGAGCTTCAGCTGCAGCAAGAAGGAGAAGATGGCGCTGTACTTGCTGAGGCAGCTTTCGGTAATGACGATGTTGAGTGGCCAGTCCACCTGCTCGGGAAGCCCCAGTCAGCCTCGGCCCACACACAGGCTCCCGCCAGCCCCAGGTGGTGCTGCTGACCTTGTACCTGAGCTCCAGGCAGCTCAGCACATCTGGTGTGTTGGGAGCAAAGACCTCAGGCAGGTGCTTGAGGGCAAAGGAGAGGCCAGCAGCACGAGGCGAGTCTCCATGGAGGCTGCACTGCAGGGCCTTGTTCAGGACGCAGTTGAGGGCCAGTGGACTGAGCAACTCCCCAGGTGACTGTCCGGCTGCAAGCTGGCAGGAGAGGAACATGTCCCAAGACCTACCCTGTGCCCCACTGTGCCCTCCCACAGCCCCTACCTAACTGCCAGGGTCACCTTCTCAAAGAGCAGGTCGCTAAGGGACTGCGCAAACTCCCCGTCCTCCATCAGCAGGAAGTGCCGCAGCGCCTCGAAGTGTGACTCTAGGTGCAGCTCCACAAAGAAGTAGTCGACTGCAGCCTTATTTACCAAGGAGACACTGATGGAGGGCCAGAGTCAGAGGCGGTTGGGGGCCGGGGGTGGGGTGGAGTTGGGTAGGGGGGGCAAGGACTCACTGAGCAGCCAGCGGGGCTGTGAGGGAGCGCTTCATGAGCACAGGCAGGGTCAGCAGCTCGCTCAGCTGTACTGCAGTCTCATCCACGGCCGGCTGGGCCCGGAGGTCCATGGGGAAGGTGAAGGCCCGGGGCAGCACATGGTGGACAAGGTGGGTGACGGGAGACTCCACTGTGAGACAATACACACTTGTTGTGGCTCAGGGAAGCGCTCGCCTTGGGTACCCATCCGTCACACCGTGCACTCACACATGGCCTCGTAGCTGTCCGGGTACTGCTCCAGGGGGTACAACCTCGCTAGGCTGGCCAGGTAGGCTTGCTCCTCACCCCAGCGTCGGGCCTGGGCCTCCGCCTCTGCCTCCACAGCCTCCTCACCAGGGCCAGGCTGCCCTGGAGTGGCTGTGTCTCCCTAAAGAAGCTGACCGTAACACACTGCTCCCGGGCCCTCCATGTGACCCCACATGTGATTCCCCAGGCTATGTCCACCCTAACCTGTGAGTCTGGAGGCTGGTGTGGAGACAGATCCACAGTGTTCCCATTCCTCTCTGGGGCTGAGGAGACACAAACAGGCAAGAGGGGCATCAGCCCAAGTGCCACAGGGGTGACGGGACAGGATGGCCCAGGTAGCCCCCCATGTCCTTCAGACAGTACCTAGACCCCTAAGGACAAGGAGTCCACCGGCAGCTTCCCATACTCTCCACCCTCAGCATGTGGCACTACCCCCTAACAGGTTGCTCTCTCACCTGGCTGCTCAGAGACACTGTCTCCCAGAGTACCCGGCTCAGCTACAGCAGAGGGTGAGGCCCGGAGGCCCCCCGCCTCCCAACTGCCTGCTCCAGGAAAGCAGGTAGCCGGCTCCACTTCTGCAGATAGTGTTGGCACACATTCCAGGGCAGGGCTTTCAACTTCCGGGCTGCCCAGCTGAGACCCCTGGCCAAGGAGGCTGTAGGGCAGCCTGGGGAGGTTGGACTCAGCTTCCAGGAACAAGGGCTGAGTGGTACAGCCATCCCAGCAAGGCTGGGAGGAAGCCACATCTGATACGCTTGCCCCAATTTGGATACTGGAGTCTGACACATGGCCATGGATGTTCCAGCGTGGCCGAGAGACAGCCACATCTGACACATTCTCTCCAACCCGGATGCTGGCATCAGACACGTGGCCATGGAGGTTCCAGCGTGGCCGGGAGGCGGCCACATCTGACACATTCTCTCCAACTCGGATGCTGGCATCAGACACATGGCCGTGGGTATTCCAGCGTAGCCGGGAGGCAGCCACATCTGACACATTCTCTCCGACCCGGATGCTGGCATCGGACACGTGGCCGTGGATGTTCCAGCGTGGCCGGGAAGCGGCCACATCTGACACGTTCTCTCCAACCCGGATGCTAGCATCAGACACGTGGCCGTGGATGTTCCAGCGTGGCCGGGAGGC